TTTCTAATCACAAAAAATTTAAAATATATTTTTACAATAAGGAATTAAATTTGAGACAGCATAGATGATTAGAATTAATCAAGGATTATGATCTTGATATCCAATACAGCCCAATGTGGTGGCTAAGGAATTAAATAGGAAATTTAGTGGACATGCCAATTGGATGCTAATTTACAACAATAAATTGATCAAACATTTGACAGTATTACATTTAAAAGTGACTAGCTAGAAGGATCAAATCCCTAATAACTTATATCAAATGATAATACATCTGACTTTGTATTAAAGAGTTTAATAGGCAGATGAATCCAGTGGGGAATATCATAAGCTAATGAATCAAATTCAATCATGTTAAAGGCAAGATCTTATCCTTGATGACAAGCATCAATCAGAAGTAAGGGGACATCTTTGGATACCAAATTAGGTGTATTAGTTGTCGATCATAAGTAAGTGACAACTTTGGCTCATCATCTTATTAAGTGTATATTCTAACTATTATTCCTACACATGTAAAGCAAGGCAATAAATTAGCCAATCTTAATGGTTATAACATGAAACAAACAAACTAGGTCAAAATACTGATGCTAGGTGACATCTACATTCATAAATAGATGCAAATACATGGATTCAAATGTATCTGAAAAAAATAATATACAATGTACTAATTAAATTATACCTATTAGTTTGATATCCATTTCTTTGTTACTCAAATACTCAATACGATCATCTTTCCTCTTTCATATGCTTATATTAAATATTATAAATATTGGTGGCCACAAAATAAGATTTATCGATGGACAAAGAAAAAAATACTTTTTCTTTGTTTCAGCATAATAAAAAGAGAATAAATATGCATCAGTGTGAGATGAGCTGCAATAAAAAATACTACTCGGAGTTGCAATGACATTTAGCTTTGATGCCAAGATGCTGATTAGGTAGCTAGCTGGATATTGGATCTGTTAAAGAAATGAGGGAGAAAAAGTAATTGAGATAGAGACAAAAAGTTGGATATAGTTAGAAAGAGGTCAACCTTAGAGTCTAAAGATTTTTGCTTGAGTAGATCTAAAATTGAATATATGGAGTGTAATTTTAGTAGTGATAGACCTAGTGGTGGATTGTGACTTTGGGTGATCAAGTTATAAATAAGAGTACATGTTTTACATATCTTGGATCTATTATTCAGAGTGATGGCGAAATAGATGGGGATATTATAAGTAGAATTGAAGTTGGATGGTTGAAGTGGAGGAATGCATCAGGCTTGTTGTGTGATAGAAAAGTCCCCTTCAAACTTAAGGGAAGGTTCTATAAGAGGGTTGTGAGACCTGCATTGCTTTATGGTGCAGAATGCTGGCCATTAAAAGAGAAGCATAATACTAAGTTAAGTGTTGCAGAGATGAGGATGCTCAGGTGGATAAATGGTTTTACCCTTATAGACAAGATGCAAAATAAGCATATACGTGAAAAGGTTGGAGTAGCTCCAGTGGAAGATAAGATTAGAGAGAGTCATCTTGGATGGTTTGGTCACATAAAAAGGCGGCCGTCCGATGACCCAGTTAGGAAAGTAGAGGTATTAGATTCGACTTATGTTAAGAAAGGTAGAGGTAGACCTAAAAAGACTTGGTTAGAAAATATTAGAAATGATCTTTCTTTAATAGACTTAAACGAGAGTTTGACTTTTAATTGGACACAATGGAGACAAATGATTCATGTAGCCGACCCCACATAGTGGGACAAAGGCTTGTTGTTGTTGTTGTTTGTTGTTGTATTCTGCTTTCTCAAAGAATTGAGTTTTCACATCCTCAAAAAAAATTTTTTTTTGAACATTAGTACGGATTCAAATTGAGTTTTCTTAAGTGGTTGATATATAATAGAATAAATTGATCAAACATTTGTTAGTATTAAAATTAGAAGTGATTAGCTAAAAGGATCAAATCCCTAAAACCTACATCAAATGATAGTATAACTTATTTTGTGCGAAAGTGTTTGATAGGTGGATAAATTTAGTGGGGAATAACATCAGATAATGAATCAAATTCAATCAAGATAAAGGCAAGATCTTAACCTTGATGACCAAGCATGGATAAGAAGTGAGGGACATCTTTGGATACCAAAGGATTTTCATTTGATTTAAAAGATTTTAGTTGAAGCTAACTTTTCAAGCTACTCCATTCACACTTGTAGTATAAAAATGTATAAAGATTTGAAGTCACTATTCTGGTGGCCTAGAATAAAAAAATATATAATTGATTTTGTGTTTAAGTGTAACGCATGTCAAGTAATAAAAGCTGCACGTTAAAAACCCCATAGAATGTCATAGTCATTACATATGCTCGACCATTGCACATACATTTTGGTTGACTTCAAGTTTTTTTATTCAATTGTCATGATACCCCACACACTCGATAATTGCAATGCGAGACTCTTGATTTGGATCATACTCTAGACACATACAAATATTTTTGATTAATTTGATCGTGCATCTCGCATGATCGCGATCAATATTTCATCTCAAATCTCACTGTGATCACGATTTTTGTTTGATGAGTCTTGCTGTAATCACGATCGTGAATGCCTCATTTGATCAATTATAATTTTTGTTGTCCAAATCAGGTGGATTAGTTGTCGATATGCGTGCATATTATTTTGAAAATTTTGGTATAATTATCCTATTAGGATACACATATGAAACACTATATCTATGAACATTTTTAAGGAAATAATAGTTGAAGTGATTTAAAAAATAATATAAATTTTGAAGGTCATAAACGAGTTTTATTACTTTGTAAATTCTAAATAATATTTTTTATTGTTAGGAAACCACATCTACCTTCTCGTAAAAACTTCCTATTACCGATGTAAATTAGCCATGTGTGAATATGTATGTGCATATATATACATATACATATAAATATAATTATATGTATATATACATGCTATATATTTATAAATACATTTATATGTACTAGTAAAAATGCCCGTGCATTAAATGCACGTGACTAAAAATTTAAAAATAAAAATTCATATTATAAATATTTCAATTATATTATCATTATAAAGTTGAAAAAAATTTATTACTATAAATAATTATAATTATTATGATAAATTTTATATAATTAGGTAAATAGTTTTATATGACATGGATTTTCTATTATTCATGAATAATCTTGATATTAAATAATGTTATTAGTTAATAAACAGAATATTTATTTTTTGAACCGGATATCCATGAAGTTATAAGTTTTTTTTTAATTGTACGTTAATAAAATTTCAAACATTAATAATAAATAAAAAAATTAACAAAATAAATTTGAGTGGGTTGACTGGAGCATGGAGTGAACCAAAGCACTCAAAATGACTCATCGATTAACTTTAGGCGGCAACAGAGAAGTCGGCCTTTAGGCTAATTGGTTTTGATGGTAGTAATTCGAGTCTGCATTCGCCTAATTATGCAGTCAAAGTTTTAGTGGTAGGTTTGTTGGATAGATTTATGACTTTACCTTGAATATCTTTAAAAAGCACAAACAAATATAAGAACTTTTCCACTATATATTTGTGATTAACAAAATCAAGTTCAACTCAATGTGGCCTTATGGGGCCAACAATTGTGTTATCTTTTGTCGGTGATACATGATCTCCAACTCCATTTGAATAGTTAAGGATTAATGATCTTCAACAAATGTTATATATCAGTGTTGCACATCTTTGACCACTGATCTAATTCAATCTCAATATGTTTAGAAAAATAGGACCTCTGGTATTTGTAATTGCCTTGCCTTGTAACATCAATCTTAGTTGTACTTTCAAGTGATTACAAGCTTCTTTTTTGTATTTTACAACAAGAGAAGTATGGTCAATTTCTAGAGTTGTTTCCATAGAAAATCTATGCAAATTTCAAATCTGTAAACTTGTGATAATAAGAAAATTCTTATTCCATGGAGATATCCCCAACTAATTAGCAATTAGCTACATGATGAACACTGGCTTCAAATAGTTCTTGTTCTTCTTAAAACAACTCAAGCTCTATAGTAATTTTTTTACATCTCAACATGTCTTTTCTCCAGTATTTCTCATTTTGTCTAATGAAATCCTTTCGTTCAAGCTAAGAAAGACACATAGTGGCAAGAGGTGATGCATTCAAAGATTTGATCTCTACAAGAAAATAATATATGGTCACCTACTACTACCCCTCAAGGTAAAGAAACCCATATGTTGTAAAAGATTTTATAAGATCATGTATAAATCAGATGGGATTATGAGCATTACAAGGCTTAGTTGGTTACCAAAGGCTACAAAGAGACTTAAGGGATGGACTATAATGAAGTTTTTTCTTCCTACTTATATTTAGCAAGGGAAGAACTTTGTATGACAACTAAAAAAATTGTTGTATTACTTGAAGATAGCGTATTGCAATTGATTTCATAAATTCTCCTTTAGGAATGATAACTATTATTTCTTGCTTACAATTGTTATCTCTCTTGCAAGACAAATTTTGACATCTTTTTAAAAGAAAATTGGGCCTTAGGAGAAAGAATGTGCGCTCCTGAAACTCAAAAAGGATTTATAGGAGGAAGAGACAAATGTTTTTAGATTTTTTTTTTAAAAAAAAAATTACTATATTTTTGAAATTTTCAAAGTATGAGATTGATTATTTTCCTTCTTTAAATATTTAAAATGGTAAATAATTTTTAAAACTGCAAAATTATGGACAAAAATTTGCCCCCTAAGGCTAGTGAGTGATGTGGGCAGCACAAGGCTATGACCTAGGCATACCAACACTTAGTTTGGGCCATTCAAGTTTGTTTTCGGACTCGAATATGCCTTTTAAGTTGTTTTAGGATCTCTTGAAACCATTGTTAGCATTACATACTCAATTTGAAATTTTTGAAGCCTAAAGAACCCTTCAAAGTGACTTTTCAGGCTAAACAAGTGAAATCAAATACTAATACTTAAAATTGTAGACTTCCTAAACCTATTATGGCCTTAAACAACAAGTATTCAGGTAAATGCAGTTACCGAGAAGTCATAAATAACAAGAGACCAATTTGAATGAATAGATATAGAGTTCATGGCCATATATGCCAAAGAAAAAATGGGTTTGCAAGAACTCCTAAAGACGCTGCTAATCAGTCTTCAGGTACAGAATTCAAAGCATTAAAGGAAAGGAAAGAGAGCAACTGCAAATTTTAACTTTCTTCATCCTTGATTCCATCTTGATCATCAACCCCAAAGAGGTGTGAGCAAGCATAAACTATGCTGCACTGATCAGGCTTTTTCAAAAGCTTTGCAGAATATTGCCAAGGAAAAAGGAAGAAATGAACTCTGAAGTTTATAATAAATAGAATTAAAAATGAATGAGCATGGGTAAAAAACTCACCCCTGTGGCTTTATGGGTTAGCGTATCTCTATTCTCAACTCCCAATACGTTCATCCTCTGTAGAGGTCCAATAATTATGAATTGCTGTCACTTGAGCTTTTGAATCCTACATAGATTATAGGGACAGAAAATAAAAGATGGTAACTAAATGAAAAATAGTACTAACAACAAAATACTTCAATGGGCAAATAACCATTGATAAAATAATAACACCTAATTAGGCTTGAATAATTATATTCTAGTTTCTTACTACAACTTCTTCTTCATATAATTTAAATGCTTGAGTAAAAAACTCATACGCAATGTGTTTAAGATCACAATCATTGGCAGCCTGAGAAAATATCAAATAAAAAACAATGGCTACTGTTGAAGGCAGAATTGAGATATAACCTCAATTGAAAGTCTACAAACCTTTGCACATTGTAAGTACAACCTCAAGGCAAGTTTGGGTGAAGAAACACATGATAGTGCCTCAATGGTCTGAAAAATATCGACAATAGAAAAATAATGAATAAAAAACATTCAGATGAAGGAGATTAGCAGATGAAAGGATTCAAACTCAAGCTCTATCACTGCCAATAGAAAGCACTGAATTGCAACTCTGCATTATATCCCATTCCGTTTTCCAACCCATTAACAACATTGATTTGTAATCTTTTAAATATAAAAAATCAGCATTCAAAGTACATACATTATAATATTTAAGGATGGAATTTAGTGATTGAGGTACCTCAATAGATTTATGGCTAGTTAAAATTTAAAAAGGCTTATGAGGTACCTCAACTCATAAGTGCAAAAGAACAATAGTCTTCAAAGCAATGCAACATTCAATAATGTTACCAGACATAAAAAAGGTGAAAAAAAGCAGCAACTGTAGTGTTTCCTTGTTTTTCTACTTATCTTCTTGCATGATCTTTAGTGTTAACTAATAAGTGAATTTGTCTCAACTGATGTTGATCTACTAAAACTGCAAATCATATTACAAATAAAACTCAGATGAATTTCTATGGCTAGTTAAAATTTAAAAGGGCTTGTTCGAGAAAAATTAATGATGACTTTGATCGCTAAAATCACTTAAACTATCTGTAAAAAAAAAAAGGTATATGAACAAAATATAGTGTAATCTTTATCGAGTCTTCATAACAAATGTATGTCAACATGTAGACTATCAAAATAAAAAATTACAAATTAAATGAACTCTACAGCATCATCTATATCTAGACACCATTATTCTACTCATAAAAGCATGACTATGTTTAGATTGATGTCTCTTAATGATGTACTTAGGTACAATGATGGCTCAAATTATCTTTAATAGAAAAATCACAAGGAATTACTTGTTTATATAATTATAGTGAAATTAAAAAAAATCAATTGCATAATTTATAAACAATTTGGGGATATTCAAAATCAGCAAACAGAAATTTAGGTGACCACGATGATCACAAGTGCAATGTTATAGAGAACAGAAACATTTTCATCTCAGAGTGGTAATATGAGCTCAAACCTCCAACTTTACCTTAAAAGAAGCAGCTTTGTTAGATTGTACAAGCATAAGTGCAAAGAAAAAAGGTTTGAATAGATTGAAAAAATAGCACATATAACTAAAGGAAAGAACTATTTTTTTGCACCAAGCAACCAGGCACTTCTCTAGCCCATTGTTTAGAATTGCGCAACATGAGGCTCGCCTTGAGGCCCACCTCAGCACAATTCCAGTGAAAAAAACCTTACGCCTTAGTTTGGCTGAGGCCCACCTTGAGGCATGTCTCAACTCACTAGCGTGAGGAGTACGCCTCAACCGATATATATATATATATATATATATATATATATATATTAAAACTTACCTAAATCCTTAAATAAATCCCCTAACAAATCATGCCTTCATGCACCCCAAAGCCACAACAACTTCCTCTCAACAGCCTCAACCTCTAGCCCACCACCTTGGCCGTATCCTCCAACATCATAGCCACCATCAAGAACCACTTGAAAGCCGCAGACCGCCATCACCTCCTCTAAAAATTTTGGAGTATTTATTCTCATCTTTATATTAATGACAAATATTTATGAAAGGAAAAGATGATTGAAATAAAAAAAGAAGAAACATATTGAGAGGCATTGAACTCCACAGGATTAGATAGGGGAGAGATCAATTTGTTATGATTAAGACTCAAATAAAGACCCCCTCATTGATGACAATGTAGATGATTTCTAAGTTGTTGCCAATCATGTAAGCTTTTTTTCAGGAATTGAATATGGATGAGTAGGGAACTAAGAAAGAAGGAATTTGGAGCTAAACTTAATGTTATAGGATACTTTATATGATTTCTAATCATGTAAGCTTTTTGCCATCGCCCTCTGCTTCCAGCTTGGGCATTTCCTACTAAACATCACTGCTGATTTCCCGCAATTAATATGCTTCCCAGTCCAGCTACAATAAACCTCCAGTAACGTCAAGATCCGTTTAGCATTACAACAGGATGCCTCGACAAAAATCAGGATGTCGTCAGCATATAAGAGGTGAGAAACCCGCTCCGAATTCCTGGCAACTTGGATCCCATGATCCGCACCCCTATGTCTAAACCCCTTAGTAAGCAACTCTGAACACAGGATGAAGAGGTAGGGTGACAAGGGGCAGCCTTGTCGGAACCCGCTATCCGCCCGGATCTAATGTGTCCTCTGCCCGTTGATCATTAACGAAAACTTAGGCCAAGTGATACATTGAATAATCCAATGAGTAAATTTCTCGCTGAATCCCATAATTCTCATAACCTTGTCCAGAGTATTCCAAGCCATGCAGTCGTACGCTTGCTCCATATCTACCTTTAGCGCCATCAGACTAGTTTTTTTAGACGAGTGCTTGAGTTTCTCCATGACCTCTTGGGCAATCAAACCAAGACTAGTGATGCTCCTGCTTGGGACAAACGCCCCCTACTCCTCTCCCACAATGCTGCTAAGCACAGGCTTCAAACGGTTAATCAGCACTTTGGCCACCACCTTGTAGAAGCTTTGACACAAGCTAATGGGACGAAATTTGGCCGGCTGATTGGCATTAGCTGACTTCGGGATAAGAACAATCAAAGTTTCCTTCCAGCTCTCACACATAGTATTAGTCCAGAAAAATGGGAGATAGCCCGAGAGACATCTCCCTTAATAATTTCCCAATAAAATTTCAAAAAGGAAGCATTAATTCCGTCGGTGCCAGGTGAGCGATTGTTCCCGAGACTGAAGACCGCCTGACGAATCTCCAGTTCTGTAACCTCCGGCCTCCAACATGATTTGGAAATGATCAGGGACTCTATCCTCTTCTTTAAATTATGGCCAATCTTCAAAATTCACCTGCCTATCTCTCCATTTCAGCGAGAAAAAAATCCAGAACTCATCCTGGATGAGCTGCGGGTCCAGGATCCGTTCCCCATTGCTGTCGGACAATTCTTTGATCATGTTGCCACGCCTTCGAGCTGAAGCATTAGCATGAAAGAAGTGGGAATTGGCATCCCCCTCCTCAATCCATCTGGTCTTAGCACGCTGTCTCCACCACGTAGTCAGACGAGCCAACATGGTGATCAACTCCCCGGCCTTCAGTCGAAGCTCAGCATCTTGTTCAGCCGTCAAGCCTTCCGACGAGCCTTCAGCCATCTGCAGAATCTCAATTCGAGCTTCCAAGGAGGACTTTAATTCACCCAGCTCCTTCAGACGATTCCGACTCCAGTGGTACAAAGCCCGCAAAGTTCTGGAGCATTTGCGGTTCAGAATATCATCTGGAGGACCGTAGTCCGATTTGGTCCAATTTTTCCATACCAGCTTCCAGGTCGCCGGATACCTCATCCAAATATCTTCAAACCGCAACCATTTGGATCCCTTGGGGCGGGAAATCGACTCCAACGACACCAAAAAAGGGCAATGGTCCGAAGCAATTCGGACAAGGTGCCAAACATTAGCCAATGGGGCCAGCCGCAACCCTTCAGAGTTCATCAAAACACGATCAAGTCTAACCCAAATTTTACTGTTGCCACGTTTGTTATTAGACCAAGTAAAATTAGGTCCCGAAAACCCCAGATCATGGAGATCATTAACACTCATAAATTCCACCATTTCTTGGGCTCCCGCCGTGTAGGTAAACCGCCGACCGCCCTTTTTCTCCTCTTGGGCCAAGCAGCAGTTGAAGTCCCCTCCCACAATGACCGGGAAGTCCGAATTAATCCAACCGCCTATGTCATTCCACAAGACCCTTTTGGAATGATAATCCTTGCTGGCATACACAACAGCAACCAAGCACCTTTGAAGATTGGGGAGGACCAGCCACCCAATCAGAGCCTGATTCAAAGCCAAGCAAATGTCAAACTGAGCAACATCCCGTTTCCAAAGGGCAAGAAGACCCCCCGAATGACCAGTAGCCGGAAAGTGAAAGAAATCCCAGTTCTTACCAATAATTCTATCCACATCAGCATGATTGACATCTTCAATCATAGTTTCAGTAAGCCCAACGAAGTACACCTCGTTATTGCTAACGAGGCTACACAGATAGTAACCCGTCTGCTTCTTACGGGCACCCCTGCAATTCCAAAAAAGGGCCGTAGTCATTGATTAACCGAAGGGGATGCGTCCCCGCCGCAGTCGGTGTCACCCACCTCTTTCTTACACTTCCGAGGGATCTCAATAGGCGATTCAGACATACTCAATTCCTTATCAAAGGAGAACCGGTTAGCCAAGGGGATCTCCCTCCAAATGCCAGCCATAAAAGGAAGGGGTTTTTTGAACCCCTCCGTTTCTGCACTTCGGTAGGCCTCAGCTTGCTCTGTGGCACACCCACCTTACTTAGATCAACTTGCTTCCACACGATCACTTTCCCCTTAGATGCACTCTTGGGCCAGCATTGCCTGGCACGCGAGAATTCCTCCTTCTCCTAGGAGGGACCTGGATCCAAGGTACCACCTCATCCTCATTATCACCAACACGTTCCCGACATTCCTGGCTCGCCATGGAAGAGTCAGGTCTTGACTCCAAGCTCCCACTGTCGTCGGGGCCTCCACTAGATAGAGGGGGAGCAGAACCTTCTAATGAGGCCAGCACAGGCCCAGCCTTCGGGGAAATATCCTGTTCAACCCCAGCCTTCGGGGAAATACCTTGTTCAACCCCACCCGGGGGGGGGGGCCCGGGGGGGGGGGGGGGGAGTAACCGGGCTCCTTACTGCCGAATTACGAAGAGGCAGCTGCCCCCCAAAACTACTCAGGTCCCAGCCCCCCGAGCAATTCTGCCTACTGGGGCATTGTTCCCTACGGTGACCCACTCTACCACAGCCATAACACATAAGTCTAATCCCCTCATACTCAACTGGTTGAAAGAATTTCCCGTTCCACCCGTTGATCCAAACACCAGCAAGCATTTTTGTTGCTAAGTTCATCCTCACAGAAACACGGGCGTATTCTCTACGACCCCAACACCCTGTCTGTGCATCAATCCACAAAGGAGTGCCAAAT